CCCGAGCGGAGCAGACGTTCCTGTGGAGGAGCGCTAATTGGATTGCAGGTGATGGCGCCCCGTTGGGAAAGGGGGTGCGCTGGGGCTCAGTGTGGTTGGTGGGCTCTCTGTCTCCTTCACTGACACCTCTCTCTCTCTCTCTCTCCTCCTCTCCTCTTCTCTCTTTCCTCTTCTCCCTCTTCTTCTCCTCCTCTCCTTCTTCCTCACTCTCTTCTTCTCTCTCTCCTCCTCTCCTCTTCTCTCTTTCCTCTTCTCCGTCTTCTTCTCCTCCTCTCCTTCTTCCTCACTCTCCTCTTCTCTCTCTTCTCTTCTCCCTTTCCTCCTTTCTCTCCCTCTTCCTCACTCTCCTCTTCTCTCTCTCCTCCTCTTCTTCCTCTTTCTCCTCTCTCTCTTCCTCTCTCTCCTCTTCTCCCCTTCCTCCTTTCTCTCCCTCCTCTCCCTCTTCCTCACTCTCCTCTTCTCTCTCTCCTCTCTCTTCCTCTCTCTCCTCTTCTCCCTTTCCTCCTTTCTCTCCTCCTCTCCTCCTATCTCTCTTTCCTCCTGTCTGTTTTCCAGGCAGTGATATTGGATCCTTGTCCAGTATTTACTGGAGACACACCAGGTACTGTGTTACTCGAGGGGAGGGGGAACCTTTACCTAAATCTGTTTAGCATTTTAGCTTTGGGCATGAGCATTTATCCCTGGGCTTTACTGCACTGTACTGTGCTTTTACCCTGATCTCACTGGGCTTTACTGCACTGTACTGCACTTTTACCCTGATCTTACTGGGCTTTACTGGACCGGCGATCTCTGGACTATAGGGGTACAGCATGACCCAGACTGGATCACTGATCTCTGGACTGTAGGGGTACAGCGTGACCCAGACTGGAGACCGGCGGGCTCTGGACTGTAGGGGTACAGCGTGACCCAGACTGGATCACTGATCTCTGGTCTGTAGGGGTACAGCGTGACCCAGACTGGAGACCGGCGGGCTCTGGACTGTAGGGTTACAGCGTGACCCAGACTGGACCGGCGATCTCTGGACTGTAGGG